AAACTAGATGTACCACTGCCTGCCTACACTTTTGACTTACTAATAAAACTACACTTATAATGCAAAACATCGTCATAAATTTGCTGCCTTGCAATGGCATAGGCCAATAGATTATTATTTTTTGGGGCATGATTAAGAAGTCAGCACTCTATCGAACTATTAAACAGGAAATTCCTAAGGAAAGGATCTATCATATTACTCGGGGTAGTTCTCTACTGTTCGAGACCAGGACTGGAGTATTGCGAACCAAGACATAGCGGGCCATATACGAAGGGGTAGACATGGTATGCAGTGCATGTGGAGAGGAGGCGGAAACTGCCGAACACTTGATAATGTTCCGTAAAGGGCTTCACCCTATAGTTCAGGACGATGGAGCACTTTTTCAGAGCACTGGGGTTTAGGGACAGGGAGGACAAAATAGACTTTTAGCGGGTAGAAATAACTAAAAGGAGGCTATCTGATTGGGGGCTAAAGACAAGGCACGAGTGAAAATTAAACCCTTCACTGCAAAGTACCAGACCTCAACTGCCTATATAAAGAAAAAAAAAAGAGATAAATCTAGTGGTTGGTTCACTAGGTGGCGTTAGCCGCCGCCCGATCTAAAGGCTACAGCCACATCCATCCATTTATCCATCCATCCATCCATTCATCCATCCATCCATTTGGGAAGCAGCACAATTTAAGCTGTCGACACAAAATGAGAATTGGTTACAGTGAACTTACGCAGGTTAACGGACGGTCTATATAAACAATTGACACTTTTATTATGTATTTGTGTTGTTTTCAATATGTTCAATATATAGTAAGCCTTTCAGAAAGCAAGAAATATTATCTTCCGCAAAACTGGCATAATAAAACTGAGTCGTCACCGATATAAATGTTATAACAACGTTACTTCTACTCGGGTTTCTCGTGAAACGATCGAGCGCGTGTAGGCTCAAATGAGGAAGCTTAATTTTTATTTACAATGCTTGATTGATGCAGCTGGTCCTACGGATAGAAGAGGTGCGGTGCAAACACAAACACGGGAACAAATAAAACGCAAATGGTGTTTGTCATGTCTCGTTGCCGCATGGACGTGAACGAGACAACACAAACATCATTTGTGTTTTGTTTGTTTTTGTGTTTGCACCGAAACTCTTGAACGTAGTGTGTATTAGCGCAGTACATAAAAGAAATTGACACGACACAGACGTAGAAATAGGTAGGTGCTAAACTTCCAACTGTTTGGAGGTCACTTGCGAACTTCCACAAAAGGGTTCTATGCGGTTTTTGGACCTCAGGTTATTTTTCTCGGAAAACCACACGTTCTGGTGGTATGAGCCGTGAGTGAAGAAGCCTCTTCTTTCGTTCGCTTCCACGCATTTAAAACTCACTAAGAGGGGCATTGCAAACTTTTGTTTTAAAAATGCCGTGACCAAATAGTGTCACCACAAAATGGCGTCCGGTTTCGAGACCCAAAGCAAGCGTCTAACCGAAGCAGGCTACCCTATTCTGTTACGGGTTTCTGTAGCCGATCGCATCCTCCAAGAGTCTCGAAAAGAAACCAGGCGTGAAGTTTCGGAGTACTCGGGCTGCAGAGTAGGTGTAATCCCTTACATGCACACAGTTTCTCACAACTTAAAGAAAGTGGCCCGGAAGGCTAATGTACGTGTCGTTTTTTCAGCGCCTAAGAAACTAGGGGAGCTTTGCTAGCTCACTTGTCTAAGAAATATTGCTCTTCCAGCTTGTGATAAGAAACACCACGTTAGATTCGTTGATTGTGTATCCTGTGTCATCTACAAGTTCCCATTATCCTGCGGGACGTACTATATTGGGCAAACAAAACGGTGTCTCAATGACAGATTACGCGAGCACTGCTATAGAATCAGAAAACACTACAGAGCATATGGCTTCTAAAAACACAGTAAAGAATTTAGTTTTCACAACTGGATCTGGCAATAATTTCCACTGTTGAATCACCCTAGGAAAGAAACTGTTCCTAAAGCAGTCAATATGAGCTTTTAGAGGTGGTATGTGAATATTGTTTATGTGTCTTGATGTTTCCCGTGTTTTGATCTTAAAGTAGCGAGCGTAGTTTATTTAACATGATTATAAAATTACGAAAATGAATTTTAGCCTTTCAAATTTGGTTTGCTTATGAAGAGGTGATAGCTCTGCAAGTTTACACCATTCAGTAGGTGAATGAAAGTGACAGTATTTGTTAAATTTAAACCTAGAACTATGGCGATGTATTTTCTCAAGTCTCTAACAGTTAGTTAAGGTATAGCGACCCCAAGCTTCTTTGTCACATTCGATTACGGGTCTTAGCAAGGCTTTCTAAGCTAAAGTTATAATTTCGGGAGAGGCACAGTAGAGGTTACGTCTCAGGTTCCATAACACCTTGTTAGCCTTGGAACAAAGTTCTTAAATGGGAAGATTCCAGCGCAAGTCGGGCGTAAATATCAGACCTAAGTATCTGTATTGATGAGATTGAGAAAATTTGTGATTGTTAATACTGTAAGAGTAAATCAGAATGCCCTTTCTTCTGGAAATGGACATAAAAATGGTTTTTGTTGGGTTAAGTCGCATTTGTCACTGATCGCACCAGTTCTTAATTTTCTGCAAGTTAAGATTAGGTTCAGGCTGGTAACTCAGTGACTTTATATTTTTCTACAGTTATTGGTGTTAAGAACATTGAACCATTTTCACTCCGTGCCCCCGTGCTCGACTTTTTTCGTTGCAAACGCTCGCACGAACTTCAGCGTTACGTGTCGCAACGGGCTGCAAATTAAGTGCAGAAAAAAAACGAAAACCGCAGGAGACTAAGCGATCTAACCTCGTAATGAAGGACGTATAACGGGGTACTAAGCGTGTTCATTCATTACTGAGCCTAAAGGTACTAATAAAATTTATTATGGGTGGCAAAAATGCACCATTGTCATTATCTCCTTCATCATCATCCCCAGCTTGACTATGGCCGCTGCAGGGCAAAGGCCTCTCCCATGATGCGCCAATGAATCCGGTCTTGTGCTTTTCGTTGCCACGTTATACCTACGAACTTTTTAATCTCTTTGGCTCACCTAATTTTTTTGTCTCCCCTTCGTGCATTGGCCTTCTCTGGGAATCCAACCAGTTGCACTTTATGACCAGCCGCTATTCTGTCTACTTGCTACGTGCCCAGCCCACGTCCATTTCTTCTTTTTGATTGCAACTATGCAAAACATGCAACTATTTCTTAATGCGAACGCATTCACTTTTTGTAGTGTCGGTAGCCTCCACCACAACGTACCTGATGTGTGCAGCTGAATTAACCTCCCTGTGCTGATTTATTCCTCCTCCTGAATTAATTCGAACTAGCAATATCTTGAAGAACGGCTTTCATGGGTATAACTCGTATCTAGGTGATGTCCAGACTGAGATCCTAGCGATCGTTTCCTCCTGTGATCTACTTTAGGAAGAGCGCAACCTCAAGGGCGAGGGATGAGTGAGCAAGAATCCTAGGCGGTGGGGCCGGTGAGTGGCGAGATTGAACGCCCTCAACCGCACAGCATTTGACCCGCATAGAGTTTATGACTCCGTGACACGGACACTACAGGAGCACAGCACATGCGTAAAAAAAAAAAACTGCAGTTGCAGTTATTTGTAAAATTTGTCGCGTACTTAACCCAGGCCAGTACTGTGGTCAACAGAGAAGCTTTTTTTTTTTCAAAAACAAGGCTCTTTTAGATAATTAGCATGTACAATGACGTATAGCGCACAGAGTAAACACCGTCTTGGTGATGTCCCGACATTGTGAGTTGCCAGAAGAGTGACGAGGAGGGTTCGCGCTGTCTACAGCGTCTGCGCAAACGAACAGATGAAGAGACAGGAAACAACAAAATTGGAAAAGAGGAATGTGCCCTTATGCTTATGAACGAGCGTCAAGAAAAAAAAAAGCGTAAGGGCGCTTACTGTAACACAGCGGAAAGTTATCATCTCTCAAACATATATAAATAGTCTTAAAGCGCAATACAAAATCTATTGGTAAGAGGGCTATTGCAAAAAATATTGTTATTTTCTCTGCTGCTTTTTGTTACCTGATTCCTGACTGATTCCCACAAAATTGCATTCACTGCATCCGTCAGAAAATTGAAGATAAAATGGCCAGTTATGACATGTAAAAGTCGAGGAATGGCACTTATGCACATTGCTTAATAAAGAAACTGCGAATCATGATTGTGGCTAAGTCAAGGTCCCAAACCGAATTCGTCGATCAAGAAGACGGAATTCATCCATAACAAAGAAGGTAAGCATGGAAACAGCTGAAGTGAAACTGTTAAGGATAGATCAAAATCGTCATAAAGGAAAGCCAGGGCAGTTAACGATTTTAACGACATAGTGAGGGTGCCAGAGGCCCATACTCTGTACTGTACGGCTTGCAGGTAAAAATCTTCTGTTCACGAACAAAAGAAAAGCCGAGAAGAGCACTGAATGTGTCATCCGTATATGACCACCAACGAAGGTAAGAGATCTGTGCACAATATGCCCCATGGAAGATCAGCTGCAGAAGATATCACGTGTAGCAACCAGTTTAATAAAAAAATGAAAGGGTCTTTGAATGAAGAAAAGTTGCGGCACTTTGCACTCAGTGCCTCAAAGCAATAAACGTGCCAGTGAGCAGCGAGAATGCCAACGATAAAATAACGCACTAGAAAGGAAGCAAAATAAGTGTAGCCGATTGCACACTGTGAGAGACAGTGAAGCTACTGTCTCCTCCATTCGAGCCTTTTTCATTACTACTAAGTGATTTGTTTTTCATTGTTGTTTATTTTACCTAAGCCAGGTCTTTTTTTTTAGTCTGGTTGGCGTGGGGTTACCATTGCCTTCTCTTTTCTTTCTGCAGTCTTTTCTTGTGCCTCCTTTGCTTTCTTCTGCCATTTCAGCTTCCCTCTCAACCCACTGTTTGATTCACCCCCCTTTAGAAATCAGTGCTAGACCATTATTTAGAGAAAAAACAGCGGGGGTCAAGAGAGCCCTACCTGAAGGGCTCATTCGCTCCGGTCATTCCGCGAAAATGAAGGTCGCTCTTCAGCTTTGAAGCGAAGCGCTTCACTGCTGTCGTCGTCTCATCGCCTATCTTGTGCATTTCAGCGGATTCACCTTAATCTGACAACTTCGCTTAAAAGTTTTCACGATGCACTCATCACTTGGCCCTTCAACTGTCACTCGAGATCCACTTTTCACTCGATGCATTCAGAAGCCGAAATCAGCGACGCAATATTGCGTCACGAGTGTCGAGAATACCTTGCGTGACGCAAGAAGTCAATGTGTGCCAAAGGAATGTGTTTACCTTGTTGTGAACTAAGGGGATGGTTGTCGCGTATCACAACACTGTACGTGATTGTCACGAGACTTTCTGGAGTGCGGGGGAGCGGCGGCCGACAAGGTCACCCAGATTCGCCCATATCGAGCGAGCTTGTTTCGGAGGAGCGATCGTTGAACCGAAAGAAAGGGCGTCATGGCCGCACCGTGCGCAAACCCTGAGTCAGACGAGGGAGGGAAACTTGAGCTCGCCTCCTCCGCGAATGATGTCAGAGGCAGCGGGAGGAGGCCCCTCTGGGCCCCTATATGTCGCTGGCCGTGCTGCGGAGTGCCGTGTGCAAAGTGTTAGAAAAATGGAAGGCCCGCCAGCCACCGCAGCACACGCTCACCGGGTTCTGCTGCGAACTGCCTAAGTGCGCCTACTCCTCCTAGACCGCCCGAGCCGACCGCTCTAAATCTCCGAGGTAAGCCACCGACGGATTACCCTCTGTGCTGTGCTGGATTTGAGAGCCACGCAAGATTGGATTAGTGGGAAGCTCGTATCGTTTCGTCGGCGGTCACGGTAAGCACAAAACGTAGCCATGACGCCCTCTGACGTCAGGTGAGGAGTAATCATGTACCAAGGTACCGCACCACTGTTAAGGTTTACGAGGCGCTTACTTAGTTGTCGGTTGCCGTGAACCGCTTGTTTAACTAGTCTTGCACTAGAAACGATGCAGCGAACTTTTACGCGTAGTTCGTTTCGTTACCGAGTAGAATATATTGCACAGTCCTCACTGCCCATTCCGAGGATTGGTGCGTGCTATAGAAACACATTAGGTACGCGGTAGGCACGGATGCGTAAAACGATAGCGCGCTCTGCCCGGCCTTGTGCGAGAAGTCAGAAATAGCGTGGCAGGGAGTCACCGCGTTACGAAGCTGGCCCCCATCCAGGGCGACCGAAATAGCGCGGTGAGACACCTTTGCACAAGGCTTTGCCAAGCGTGTTGAAATAGCGTACGCAACGCATCGACGACTGATTTAAGGTAATTTATTACGAGGTAGGTGGTGGCGATTGCTTGATATCTCGATTTTATCGAAAAACAGGCTCTTTATATTGCTGGCAATCAGCGCGTGCGTGGAAAAACTCCGTTCACTTGCATCGGTGTGCTAGGTCGCGATGCCGCGGTATCACTAGGGCCACATTTTTTGAAATTGTTGGCGCAGATGCCTTTCAAGCCCGTTGAACATGCCAAGTGCCCTAAGTGCGGCAAGTCCGTCTATGCCGCCGAGGAGATGCTGGCTGCTGGCAGCAAGTGGCACAAGACCTGTTTCGTTTGTGGTGAGCAGCTTTTCACTTGTTCTATTTGTTGGCATGAAACAACAGTGAGGGATAACGCTGGCGTGCGCTGTAGGTCTGTGCCACAAGCGGTTGGACAGCACCAACGCTAGTGAGCACGGAGGAGAGCTGTTTTGCAAGCAGTGCTACGGCCGCAAGTTCGGACCCAAGGGCTACGGCTTCGGCGGTGGCGCCGGCTGCCTCTCGATGGACAAGGGCGAGCACCTGGGAAACGCCGAGTGCGCTATGAGGTACGGCTCGGTTTCGCTGATATCCACTCCGACCACTGAACCCTTCTATCTCTCTTTATTTGCAGCAACAAGCCACACGACCCCACATATGGCTAATTCTATACAACAGAGCAATGGAACCCAGTGATGCACTTGTGTAGTTTTTTTTTATCTTTTACTCCATCGTCACACATCTAACAACTATCGTCGCAGTGTACAATGTGAACCGACAGCACTTCGTAAGCTCCCAAGCATTTAGCAACAACTAAATAGCTGCAAAAGATGGATGAGAGATTTTACTACAAGTAAATTTAGACAGAGTCCGATTCGCGCAGCGATCATGCATCAAGCCGTATGTTAGATGAGTGAGTAGACAATAACGGCCAGAGTATTGTGCACCCTACTGCATTCGTGGGAGAAAAATATACACCTGTATCGCTTCACTGTCCTCATTCCATAATGGAAACAAGTTTGTACATGTTTCGAACTTCTCGTCGAGCGAAGATCTAGTCTCAAAGCAGCTTCGTTACTGTCTAGCTAGAAAATAATGACGACGTGCAAGATTTATTTACGAAAAAAAAAATGCTAACAGAAATGGCGCCTTCAGGAGTTCGGCGCGTTGTTACGTTTGGTCTTGTTTCGAACCAGTATCAAATGTTGCTATATCAGAGTTCGAATTTCACCTGAAATAAAGATTTGTATGACGTATCAAATCTGTCTCTCTCAGTTATTCTTTTTGAATGTTGAATGCTTGTTCATAATGGGCTGTAAGTGCGCAGAGAGATTATCACAAGCATTGATAACGTGCGCAGTCTTGTTGTCAGCAGATGCCACCAGAGAATGCTGAACCCATTCCTTTTCTAGCAGGCTGCCATTCATTCTGAAAGCGCAGCTATTGAAGCGCTGAACATCTAAACACACTTCGGTATACGTGGGTTAATTTGCGACAAATTGCTGAAGTTTCGTTTGTGAGTTTGAACCAAGCAGTTATCAGTAGACAAGGTCACGGTATGCCCTTCGGCAAAACGAACTACTGGGCTAGTTGGCTATATACGAAACTAAAACAGTACAGCGCAAAAACGACAAACAACAAGAACAACAACATCAAAAAAAAAAAAAAGGTTTGGGCAATCGACTGGCATTCACTCCATTTTCTTCTGAGTTCGTCGCTTTAGCACTGTAGGCTTTTATTAGTGTTCTCTGTATATCGTTATATTGATTCCTTAAAGCTTTGCCCGACCTCCCTGCCTTCTAATAAATCATCTCACAAATGTGTATACCAAAAATACTCATGAAAGCGTGCCAGCACGATTCATGTTTCACTGACTAATGAACTAGTTTTGTCGAAGAACCAACATTCCACAATATATGACAAAACCGACTATCAATTGTGATGAGAGAGAGAGAGAGAAGAAATGTAGGAAAAGTAGGGAGGTTAACTAGACTATGCATCCAGTTTGCTACCATACACATAGGGAGGGGGAGAGGGGAGTAAAAAAAAAAAGAGAAGGATAGACACATGTCACATCACACACACAATGCCGAGTTTCACAGGTGGTCCCTCAATGAAGTTGCTGTCAAGTATCTCAGGAGGGCTCGTGTGGCTTTCTGTGCTGATGTGCTCCGCGACCAGGCTCCTAAGATCTTTGCGTCATTAAATGGTCATCGAGTCTATTCAAGGCACACTGGATAGTGAAAACTGTATGGAAGCCGCTGTTAAACGGACCGACAACAGCCCAGAACATGAAATGAGATGGCTCCACTGATGCAAAGATGGTTCGTCGCATTGACACAGTTTTTTTGTTTTCCTGGGGTAGACTTATATCTTTATTTCTTCATTGAAAGTTACTGAACATGACCTGACTGATATGTGGGGTTTAACGTCCCAAAACTACCATATGATTATGAGAGACGCCGTAGTGGAGGGCTCCGGAAATTTCGACCACCTGGGGTTCTTTAACGTGCACCCAAATCTGAGTACACGGGCATACAACATTTCCGCCTCCATCGGAAATGCAGCGGCCACAGCCGGGATTCGAACCCGCGACCTTCGGGTCGGCAGCACTGAAAATGACCTGTGGCACCTCTGGAGGCAGAAACGTTAACAATCTAATGTCCCCGGCTAGGTTACCATTGATTGCTATAAGCAGTCGACGATTTTGTTTTGTTAGAAATATTGCTGGTTTATTTACATTAAAAGATATTTCTCCATGAAAACATACATATAGGCTTGCGTTAGTAGTATGCATTAAAGTAGTATGCATCACGCCTTGGCGTGATGAAATGATCCCACTCTCAGAGTGTCTTGAACAACTTTTCAGCGTGCTCATGCAACTGTGCGCGTAGTTTCCAGGTCGCTAAGGTGCTATCTATGATTCATCTCAGTAATAAGGTGCAGTGCTACTCGCCACGGCGTCGCAAATGCATGCCTATTGACGTTTTAAGCGACTTGGCTTGGCCCGTGTATCGAAAGAGTAACAACGCCGGGACAAGCCACCCGTGACACTTCAGGCGCTGGTAACCTTAAGTACATTCACATACAACGCGGTAGAAAGAGAGGGAACGTGTATATACCGTTATCTCATTGTGACGGCTTGATATTTTCAAAAATTTCAAAAAGCTTAAAATAGATGTGGTAAAGCATACTTACAGGAACTCCTCCGAAAGCACAACAGCTTTTACAAGTCGTGAGAAGGGCTGCCGGCATCATTATAAATTCTCAGCGTTGCTGGAGGCTTACATCTGGGCCTAGAGCTTTTCACACAGAAAATTACTGCTTGTAAAATAACTATATGGGCTTTAAGGATCAGCTACTGCAGCTATTAACACTGCGATACGCTAGCTTTCTGCCACGATGTAAAAAAAAAAGAGATGCCAAAAAAAAGTAGTGTTCTCCAGGACCAAAGTAAAGTTATTTTCCTTTCTTTCTCCCTTCCTTCCGCAAAAAAATGGCAGATCCCACGTACATTGTAAATATATGATATGCGAAGCACGAATGAGGAGGGTTCATATGTCACTTCAAATGCAGCACAGCGTTATGAGGCGGAGGTAAATTATTGCTTGCATGACTTCCATGTAATGATTTTCATGTTTGAAGGTGTCATTTACATTCGTCATCTATTCACGTCTCCTGATACCAATTTTGGTAAATATCGAGCTAGCGAAACAGCCACGAGTGCATCATAAATAGCCCAATACACACCGACGTAACGTTGATGCGCGTGCACGCTGGGCACAGCAACGCTGCGCTAGCAAAACGCGAGCCCTACTCTAAATTCTGACGCCAGGCGTGACTGGCGCGACCAGCGTCCGTCGGCGCGCCCCGGCGGCAACCGTCGTGAAATGCGACATGGTGCATTTCGCGCGGATGACGTTACCCAGACAGCACTGCGTCTGCCTCACTTCGTGACGGAGGGATGTCGGCCGCGCTTAAACGCGCATGCGTCTAAGCAACGCAGCGCGACGTGCGCTTTAATGCAGACAGATCGACGCTTCACATGGCATCGCGGTCGTGACGCGACGAAACGAATGCCGGTGCACACGTGGGCCGGGTCCCGTCGAAGTGTAATGGTGCCTTGAGTGGGACATGTAGTCATGTTATTACATGACACGCATCTCATGATTATCATGTCTGCACCAGTCACATACCTTCGTAATCCATTCACGTCCCGTGATACCAAACTTGGTATATGTGAAGCTAGCGAAACGGCCGCCAGCACATCATCAGTGTGGCATGGAGTCATGTTGTTACATGACACGCACCTGATGATTATCTTGTTTTCACCAGTCACATACCTTCGTCATCCATTCACGTCCCGTAATACCTAATTTGGTAGATGTGAAGCTAGCGAAAAGGCCGCGAACGCATCATGAGCGCGGCATATAGTCATGTTCTAACATGACACGCATTTTATTACTATCATATTTGCACCAGTCATATACCCTTGTCATGCGTTCACGTCCTGTAATACCTAATTTGGTATATGTGAACCTAGCGAAACGACCGCGAGCGCCCCACGAGTGTAACGTGTAGTCATGACTTATGACTTACATGACATGCATGTCATGATTTCTACGTTAGCGTCTGTCGCTTGCGTTCGCTATGCTGTCATGTCATATCGTACAAGTTTTGCAACCTGTCATGTGAACGAAACCACCGCGAGAACAGCTAAACCACGAAATGTAAATTATGACTTCATAACATACATGTCATGATATTTATGTTATGACTGGTCACTTACACTCGTCATACAGTCACGTTATGCCATACCAAGTTTGGCACCGATACCATTATTAAAACGGCCAGGAGAGCTAAAAGTCATAAGCGGCTAGATAGGTAGATAGATAGATAGATAGATAGATAGATAGATAGATAGATAGATAGATAGATACTCTCAACGACGCTGAAGTTCGTTAAGAAATGCTTCGCATTTAAAATCAGTTGTCAATCCCTTTGAGTCACTAAGTGGGCTCCAAAAAAGCCTTTTGTTCCGACGTGTTAATTACGCGAGACCACGTTCCCATGCATCATGGCCATATTATGCACCTCAATAAACGTACCACTCGATTGTTCTCCCGACTTTGATCAGCTGTGTACTCGCATAACTAAACGGGCCACCATGATTATATCTGGCAACACACAGTGTGGTAACGTACGGAAGCGCTTGTTATAGGTCTATTTCGCGAGCCCGCTTCAATGGTGCACCAATATCGTACTTAGCGGGAATATTGCCATGAACGATATAACAGACAGCCACGAATCGACGTCTTGCTCGCTCCCAGACCAGGAAGTAATTTTCTCTTCTTTCTCTACTTTCAAGCGATTTCTCGCTACAGTTATGGTTCGTACATATTACCTGGGACATTATTTCCTCTCCTCGAAAAGCATCGTCTCGATGCTGGTGATGAGCGTTGAAAAAAAAAAATAAGAAAGAAAAGACGCTACCATGGGATCCAACAACTGCGTCGTAAGGAAAAAAAAAGGGCTGGTATCATGGAAGTACTCAATAAAGAAAGGAGTTAATTAGGACACAAGACACATCAAAAAGAAACAAAAGTGACAAAAATAGTCATTGCTTAGTAAGTCAGTCCACGTTCGATGGATGACGCGAGGAATATGGCTTCAGCGTGGACACATGGTCCACATCACTTTGTGGAAAGCGATGGGAACGTCTTGAGGTGCCCTCAAGGAGAACTTCGTATGTAACGTCACTGAGTCGGCGTAGAACTTTGTACGGGCCGAAGTAGCGCCGCAGCAACTTTTCAGAGTGACCACGCTGTCGAATGGGAGTCCACGCCCAAACTTCATCGCCTGGTTGGAAGGTAACCTCTCGGTGTGTAAGGTTGTAGCGGCGTGCGTCGGCAGTTTGGCGAGCTTGAGTACGGCATCGGGCGAGTTGACGGGCCTCCTCGGCGCGTAGAGCGACCAGGGCAGCGTCCGCGTTGAACATACCCAGGTTGTTGGGAAGGAGCATTGCGTCGAGCATTGTAGTGACCTCTCGACCATGAACTAAGCGGAATGGGGTGAAACCTGTACTCTCTTGGACTGCTGTATTGGAAGTGAAAGTTAGGTAAGGGAGTATATCATCCCAGTTCTTGTTATCAACGGCCACATACATTGACAGCATATCTGCAATGGTCTTGTTCAACCGTTCAGTGAGTCCGTTTATTTGGGGGTGATAACCCGTGGTTTTCCGATGTTCTATACGACTTA